GTCTGCAGTCTAGTAGACGTTATATACAATAGTCAAGTCTATATCGGATTATATACGAGTCCATAGACCAGCTTTTAAGCGAGCTTCTAGTGCAGATTGTAGACTAGTCAGAGTTTAGACTTTAAATGTGTCTGAAGTCCAGACTACAGACGGACCTATAGTGAAGGATAAAGACTCAGCAGTGCAAATTTTAGATGAGTCTATAGTGTAGACTTCAGACAAGTCTATAGTTGAGCCAAAAGATGATTTTAAAATTCAGACTCTAGAAGTGAAAATATTTATGCTCTAGTCCTGAAGTCCAGACTCTAAAATGGTATATAGTCCAAACTGTAAAGGAGTCTATAGTGCAGACTTTAGACTAATCTATTGTTTGAGGTAAATACTACATATTACTCTACAGTCCAGACTAAAAAGTATTACATATCAGACTATAGGTGAGTTCATAGGCCTGACTTAGATGAGTCTGTAGCCCACGCTATATACTAAGCACATTATCCCAATTATAAACGAGTCTATAGTCTATATAGTAGACGAGTACTGAGAAGACTTTAGAACAGTTTACAAACCCAACATAACGCAACTCTACAATCTAGACTATAAACGAGTATACTGGCCAGACCCTAACTCTACTGTCTAGAATATGGATATTGATTTGATTCTGCGATAAAATCTCTTTGTCCATCCCTGATCTCCACCCTACATACTATCTTCTACTTCTATTGTTTTGTTGTTTTAACTTCGAATGCCTTTTAGCAGTTTTTTCCTCTCTCTCTCTCCCAATCTACCATTTTTGTGATTGTTGTTGTTGGCTCTGTTGATATTTGTATTTGTGTGTTCATTATTATATTGTATGGCCAATATTATGAAAACGGAAACGGAAGTATTTTTGTAGTAAACCAACCATGTTGATGTAATGATAAGTCAGGTAAATAAAGTCATAACACGACGACTTAACAGAACACGTTTAACGGATATTGAGTTGAAAGTTTTTCTTTATTTTGCCTCCTTGTTGGTTTATTTTTGTTGAGCATACATATATATTGGAAATAATTTATATTAAAGCCTGTCAAAGTGAAATGAAAACAAGGTGAATACATGTAATTAACTTTGAAATTATGATAAGTAAATTTGGATACTAGTGTTAATTTTCAGCTTATAGATATAGACCTCAGCTTCTAGCTTCTCCCATTTAAAGTTTTTAACACAAACCATTTTCATTCTTCTATTAAAGTGTTCCTAAAAAGAAGTTTTTTTCTTTAACATTTCCCTTTGGATTAATAAAACATATGCTACTAACAAAAAATTCCATAATTGAGGCAAAATATCTTAAGCAGAGCATAAAATATGTGTGAACCACCCCAAAACCCTAAAAACAAAATCCTGCATTTATTTCAAAGGTTATTTGAAAAAAAGGTTTAAAAAAAATCTATCCATGATTTATTGACACATATCAAAAATTGCATGCATAATTCATTAATAAAATCCTGGTTGTGTATTTTTTTCAAAATAATCTTTAAAAATCAATACGATTTCTTAAATTTGATTCTAAAAAAACATGTGTTACTGACACAACATATTAATTTTTTGGCAGAAAATTTGCCAAAATAACCCTTTAAAGGTCTAATTCACTTAATATATTTTTGGTATTTTCTTGAGGGTATAAGGAATTGCTTGGCCCAGAGTGATATTAATACGCAACTCTTCCTGTATAATAAAAGGAATTATTAATAGTATTTGGTTAAATGTTTTTTATTGAAAATCTTCTTTAGAAATGAGATTAAAAGGAAATACGGTAAAATATGCTAGATAAAGGGGGTGATTTGATATACCCAAAGACTAAGGCCTGGGACTAGGCTATAGACTAGACTATAGACTAGACTTTAGACTAGACTTTAGACTAGACTTTAGACTAGACTAAAGACTAGACTGTAGAATAGACTGTAGACTAGACTGTAGAATAGACTGTAGACTAGACTATAGACTAGACTATGGACTAGACTTTATACTAGACCATAGACTAGACCATAGACTAGACTATAGACTAGACTATAGACTAGACTATATACTAGACTATAGACTAGACAATAGACTAGACAATAAACTAGAATATAGACTAGACTATAGACTAGATTATAGACTAGACATAAACTAGAATATAGACTAGACTATAGACTAGATTATAGACAAGACTATAGACTATATACTAGATTATAGACTAGACTAGACTATAGAATAGACTATAGACTGGACTATAGACTACTCTATAGACTAGACTATAGACTACTCTATAGACTAGACTATAGACTACTCTTAGACTAGACTATAGACTAGACTATAGACTAGACTATAGACTAGACTATAGACTAGACTACAGACTAGACTATAGACTAGACTATAGACTAGACTAAGACTATAGACTAGACTATAGACTAGACTATAGACTAGACTATAGACTAGACTATAGACTAGACTATAGACTAACTATAGACTAGACTATAGACTAGACTATAGACTAGACTATAGACTAGACTATAGACTAGACTATAGACTAGACTATAGACTAGACTATAGACTAGACTATAGACTAGACTATAGACTAGACTATAGACTAGACTATAGACGAGACTATAGACTAGACTATAGACTAGACTATAGACTAGACTATAGACTAGACTATAGACTAGACTATAGACTAGACTATAGACTAGACTATAGACTAGACTATAGACTAGACTATAGACTAGACTATAGACTAGACCATAAACTAGACTATAGACTAGACTATAGACTAGACTAATAGACTAGACTATAGACTAGACTATAGACTAGACTATGGACTAGACTATAGACTAGACTATAGACTAGACTATAGACTAGACTATAGACTAGACTATATACTAGACTATGGACTAGACTATAGACTAGACTATAGACTAGACTATAGACTAGACTATAGACTAGACTATAGACTAGACTATAGACTAGACTATAGACTAGACTATAGACTAGACTATAGACTAGACTATAGACTAGTCTAGACTACAGACTAGACTATATAGACTATATACTAGATTATAGACTAGACTAGACTAGACTATAGAATAGACTATAGACTAGACTATAGACTACTCTAGATAGACTACTACTATAGACTAGACTATAGACTAGACTATAGACTAGACTATAGACTAGACTATAGACTAGACTATAGAACTAGACTATAGACTAGACTATAGACTAGACTATAGACTAGACTATAGACTAGACTATAGACTAGACTATAGACTAGACTATAGACTAGACTATAGACTAGACTAAGACCTAGACTATAGACTAGACTATAGACTAGACTATAGACTAGACTATAGACTAGACTATAGACTGGATTAGAGACGACTATAGACTAGACTATAGACTAGACTATAGACTAGACTATAGACTAGACTATAGACTAGACTATAGACTAGACTATAGACTAGACTATAGACTAGACTATAGACTAGACTATAGACTAGACTATAGACTAGACTATAGACTAGACTATAGACTAGACTATAGACCTAGACTATAGACTAGACTATAGACTAGACTATAGACTAGACTATAGACTAGACTATAGACTAGACTATAGACTAGACTATAGACTAGACTATAGACTAGACTATAGACTAGACTATAGACTAGACTATAGACTAGACTATAGACCGAACTGTAGACTAGTCTATAGGCTAGACTATAGACTGGAATAGTTCATAGAAAATGCTATAGACTGGACTATAAACTTGTCTATATACTAGACTATAGACTGTATTATAGACTATTTTATAGACTAGACTGTACAATAGACTAGTCTATAGACTGTAGGATAGACTGGACTATAGCCTTTTTATATTCTACTTAATAAAGCACAGTGAAAATTGTTGTTTATTTTAATTTTTTGCTGGGTTATACTTTTATCCTCATATTTAGAAGCAGGACTGCATAATTATATAAATTTTAGAAATCTATATTTAACAAAAATATATGTCCCATTTTTTTACAATATTTATAAACATAATATCAATAACTAAGCAACTTAAGAGTATTTGAATCTAGTATGTGTGTTCCAATCCAAAAAGCCAATCGAAAAGAATTAAACCTTTAACTAAAACTAACATTTATCACACTTAGAAACCTATCCTTTGTGCTAAACGCAATATTATAACCCAACTGTTTATCTGTTGTGTTATTGTTGTTTCTTTTAATAGTTAAAATGTGTGCGATAAGTACGTGTGACTAGTTTTTAATTCGTTCCTGTAAATGTTACGGTTTCACTATTAAGTGGTTGAAAGTGGTTGTTCGCAGGATGCCTATTTAGCTGGCTGGTTGGCTAACAGAATGAAAGGATAAAAGTTTTCCTTGTATTATAACCACGTTTGTTGTCTGCATTATAGTAGTTGTTGTTTTGAGTGTCTATGAGTGTTATTTAGTAGATAATGTAAATTATGTGTTCAACCACATTTTAAATACACAAACATATAAAATACATTATTATAGTGTGTTTGTTGTACTAACAGACAACACACATATTTAGAACAAGAATGTTTTTTTGGCTAAATGTGTACAATGAATTATTGAAATGGTTCATAAATCAATAATAAATACGTTTAATATTTGAAAATATATACATATGTATTCAAAATGGTGTGTCAATGGTCAGAAATAGAAAACTGATAACATATTCGTCCTTGTTTGGAATACATGCATTAGAAATAGTTAAATGGTCTGAATGAATCTAATAAATTCTTCAAGTAGTGATACTTTTATATATGAATATTCTATTATCTTTTACCAAATGTGCAAGGGATAGCTTTTACTCTAAATATATTCATATGCTCGGTTATACATTTAATTAGGTGTCATTAAATTTTTAATTAAGTTTTGACAAATTAATTACATAAAATTCCTAATAACTTTTTAAAAATTTTAATTATATTTAATTTTTGTTATTTTATTTACAGTTGTAATAATTTCTCCCCCCCCCAAAAGAGTAATTTATTTGGCATTTTCTCCTAAAAAAAATAAATTTAACGAATTTTAAAATTAAAATTCCAACTAATTTTAACCAATTATATTGGTTAAATCAACAAATGGATTTAGCATTTAAAATACAAATAATGTGGTAAGTGACAATTTTATTTGGCAATTTATTTGATTTTTTTTATTTATATTTTTATAAATTTTGTGTTGGAATTTAACATTTTTAATTAAATTGAATGAGCTTAGTTGTTTGTTTATGAGCAACTTCATAACAATTGTAGTCAAATTGTTAATAATATATTCTGATAATGTAAGGGAATAAAGTTAATTTTTTAAAGTTGATTTACAGTAGGGTAGATTTTGATTATCTTCTTTATCTCTTTTGAGCTTAAAAAAGCATTTAACGTTAATTTCGTCTTTTTAAAGAAAAACCCACAATAATTCCCGTTCTTTCCCTTTATAACACTTTTTGTTCCAGTTTCTAGAAAATTTAGTGTTCCTACCAGGAAATTATACATATATTTTATATAATTTCATAATTTTCTTATTTTTATGAGGGAGATGAAATATTTATATAAGTTTTGGCATAGAATGCAAAATTCTCACTTGACTCTTTCGAGGAAATACTCCATGCAGTGAAAAATAAATTCAGGTTAATTAAAGTAAAGTGCGTGAAAAGAATTACACACTCTCAAATGAAAACATTGAAATTCCCAGCAAACATTTTCAAAGGGAAATCAGAAATTTAATATTTCGATATTTTACTTTCAAATATAATATTAAAATGTGATCTTATATAGTCTAGACTATAGACTAGACTACAGACTAGATTATAGACTAGACTATAGACTAGACTATAGACTAGACTATAGACTAGACTATAGACTAGACTATAGACTAGACTATAAACTAGACTATAGACTAGACTATAGACTAGACTATAGACTAGACTATAGACTAGACTATAGACTAAACTAGACTATAGACTAAACTATAGACTAGACTATAGACTAGACTATAGACTAGACTATAGACTAGACTATAGACTAGACTAAGACTAGACTATAGACTAGACTATAGACTAGACTATAGGATAGACTAGACTATAGATAGGGACTCTATAGACTAGACTTAGCCTATAGACTAGACTAGACTATAGGCTTAGACTAGACTATAGACTAGACTAGACTAGACTATAGACTAGACTAGACTATTAGACTAGACTAGACTAGACTATAGACTAGACTAGACTATAGACTAGACTAGACTATAGACTAGACTAGACTATAGACTAGACTAGACTATAGACTAGATATAGACTAGACTAGACTAGACTATAGACTAGGACTAGACTATAGACTAGACTATAGCCTAGACTATAGACTAGACTATAGACTAGACTATAGGACTAGACTATAGACTAGACATAGACTAGACTATAGACTAGACTATAGACTAGACTATAGACTAGACTATAGACTAGACTATAGACTAGACTATAGACTAGACTGATAGACTAGACTATAGACTAGACTATAGACTAGACTATAGATAGACTATAGACTAGACTATAGACTAGACTATAGACTAGACTATAGACTAGACTATAGACTAGACTATAGACTAGACTATAGACTAGACTATAGACTAGACTATAGACTAGACTATAGACTAGACTATAGACTAGACTATAGACTAGACTATAGACTAGACTATAGACTAGACTATAGACTAGACTATAGACTAGACTATAGACTAGACTATAGACTAGACTATAGACTAGACTATAGACTAGACTATAGACTAGACTATAGACTAGACTATAGACTAGACTATAGACTAGACTATAGACTAGACTATAGACTAGACTATAGACTAGACTATAGACTAGACTATAGACTAGACTATAGACTAGACTATAGACTATAGACTAGACTATAGACTAGACTATAGACTAGACTATAGACTAGACTATAGACTAGACTATAGACTAGACTATAGACTAGACTATAGACTAGACTAGACTAGACTATAGACTAGACTATAGACTAGACTATAGACTAGACTATAGACTATAGACTATAGACTAGACTATAGACTAGACTATAGACTAGACTAGCTAGACTATAGACTAGACTATAGATACTATAGACTAGACTATAGACTAGACTATAGACTAGACATAGACTAGGTATATTATCTTATTAAAATGTTTGCTGGGTGAACAACCATTAAAATCATGTGTTGAGTGTTGGTGACTGTAAGTGTCTGTATTTTTTTTTGCTTTTAAATAAAAAATTATTACACTTGTTGTTTGTTGTCGTTGTTTTTTTACAAACAGTACGTGTAAATAAGTAAACATTATAAATAATATAAAACTAACCTAAACAATTAGTTTTTGTTGTTGTTTATTTTTTGTTGCATGTGGCGGGCGGAACAACAAAACAAACTTTGTGGCAAATATATATTTAAATTTATTTTTAGTGGCAAACAAAACCAAAAAAAAACTCATATAAAAGTCAAAAACACCAGTTCAACAACTGACTGTTGGTATAATATGCACTGCCGCCGCACACATGTAGGTGGCAGTTTTATAGGATGTTGTGTTCATGCAGTTGAGATGACATTTATTTCAACAACTTTTTTGGATTTATTCTTCAAAAAAAAAAAAGGAGCAATGACCGGAGTTAATGGGGAAAATAAAGGAATTTTTTGAATAAAGTTTTAAAGGAATTTATTTTGGTTTTAAAATTTGGGCATTTAAGATAATTTTTTGAATTTTCGCAATAATTAATGACTACAGTATTTATACAGCTGCCTTAAAGATGTGCTTGCATCATTGTTGCAAACGAAATATTAATTATAATTTTATTTAAAGAAATTATATTACTTTTGCACATAAAAAGAAATAATTTATTAGGAAAATTTATTAAATTTTTATGAGTAATATTTTTAAAATTTTCAACAGATGTTAAGGGGTTGAACTTGGCAGAGGTGATAAAAACAATCCAGTAATTTCTATTTAATTTTCAATTCCTAAAATGTGGACCTTATCCATTTGAACAATATAATTAAAACTTGAACTATATTAAATTTTTATATAATTTTAATATTCCTGTTAGTCTCTATGTGTTACCTATGACATCTTGAACTAATCATACATACTTTTTCCTCTCCCATGATTTAGCCGATTAAATCCCAAATATTTTTAGGCCTTAAAGATTATGGAAGTGACATTTTTTGTTTATTTTTTTTTGTAGATTTTATTTAATGAGTTGGCTGCGGGCCAACTAGAATAATTTTGATGTTTGTGTGTGTTTGTTTTTTTGCAAAATATAATTTTTTACTTATACAGTACTTTAATGTATATTATTCTTTAAAAATTTTAAAAATTTGTTTGTATATTTCTTGTTAAAATTTTATTGATCTATTAAAAGAAGAAAGTAAAAATAATGTTCAAACACAAATCATTGAATATTGTGTCAAAATACAAATTAGTGGATCTCAGTGAAATTGCAATAAAGCAAACAGACCAACAAAAACTCGGTAATGATTTGTACTTATACATGAACTTACTTTTCAATGAGTACTGCATACCATCTGCATTACTATTAGGTACTCTTATTTTATTTTGTATTTACGAATCGATTTAGCTATGTCCGTCTGTCTGTCTGTTCGCATGAAATTTGGCACATATTCATCTTTTGACCCATAGAATTCAAAATGGTTTAAAACCGGTACATTATTATGCGAAACATAGTTTTATATAAGTATTAATGATACTGCAGATTTTCGTAGTGAGTCTCTTCGTGTTGTTAAATAACTTTAATGTAGGAGTAAATACGTATAACAGAATTTATAAGGATAGGACCATATTAACCCATTTTTTTCTGTCAACAGATGAAATAATTCTGAATTAAAGTAAAAATTAAATACTTTATTATTACAAAAAATAATCAACATAGGTATAGGGTATCATATGGTTGACTATGCCCGACTACAAATTCTTACTTGTTCTGGTTGAAAACTATTGTTTGTCAATGAAATTACTAAAGAGCCCAACTTCATATTCTTCATAGTTAGTTAGTTAGTTATTAGTTAGTTAGTTAGTTAGTTAGTTAGTTAGTTAGTTAGTTAGTTAGTTAGTTAGTTAGTTAGTTAGTTAGTTAGTTAGTTAGTTAGTTAGTTAGTTAGTTAGTTAGTTAGTTAGTTAGTTAGTTAGTTAGTTAGTTAGTTAGTTAGTTAGATAGTTAGTTAGTTAGTTAGTTAGTTAGTTAGTTAGTTAGTAGTTAGTTAGTTAGTTAGTAGTTAGTTAGTTAGTTAGTTAGTTAGTTAGTTAGTTAGTTAGTTAGTTAGTTAGTTAGTTAGTTAGTTAGTTAGTTAGTTAGTTAGTTAGTTAGTTAGTAGTTAGTTAGTTAGTTAGTTAGTTAGTAGTTAGTTAGTTAGTAGTTAGTTAGTTAGTTAGTTAGTTAGTTAGTTAGTTAGTTAGTTAGTTAGTTAGTTAGTAGTTAGTTAGTTAGTTAGTTAGTTAGTTAGTTAGTTAGTTAGTTAGTTAGTTAGTTAGTTAGTTAGTTAGTTAGTTAGTTAGTTAGTTAGTTAGTTAGTTAGTTAGTTAGTTAGTTAGTTAGTAGTTAGTTAGTTAGTTAGTTAGTTAGTTAGTTAGTTAGTTAGTTAGTTAGTTAGTTAGTTAGTTAGTTAGTTAGTTAGTTAGTTAGTTAGTTAGTTAGTTAGTTAGTTAGTTAGTAGTTAGTTAGTTAGTTAGTTAGTTAGTTAGTTAGTTAGTTAGTTAGTTAGTTAGTTAGTTAGTTAGTAGTTAGTTAGTTAGTTAGTTAGTTAGTTAGTTAGTTAGTTAGTTAGTTAGTTAGTTAGTTAGTTAGTTAGTTAGTTAGTTAGTTAGTTAGTTAGTTAGTTAGTTAGTTAGTTAGTTAGTTAGTTAGTTAGTTAGTTAGTTAGTTAGTTAGTTAGTTAGTTAGTTAGTAGTTAGTTAGTTAGTTAGTTAGTTAGTTAGTTAGTTAGTTAGTTAGTTAGTTAGTTAGTTAGTTAGTTAGTTAGTTAGTTAGTTAGTTAGTTAGTTAGTTAGTTAGTTAGTTAGTTAGTTAGTTAGTTAGTAGTTAGTTAGTTAGTAGTTAGTTAGTTAGTTAG